TGTGCGCCGTTTGTGGCGACACCGCCGCCTGTCAGCACTATGGAGTCCGGACGTGCGAGGGCTGCAAGGGATTCTTCAAGCGGACCGTCCAGAAGGGATCCAAGTACGTCTGCCTGGCGGACAAGAACTGTCCGGTGGACAAGAGGCGTCGCAATCGCTGTCAGTTCTGTCGATTCCAAAAGTGTCTGGTCGTGGGCATGGTCAAGGAAGTGGTGCGCACGGATTCGCTGAAGGGACGAAGGGGTCGTCTGCCCTCTAAGCCGAAATCCCCCCAAGAATCGCCGCCATCGCCGCCCATCTCATTGATTACCGCCCTGGTGCGCAGTCATGTGGACACCACACCGGATCCCTCGTGTCTGGACTACAGCCACTACGAGGAGCTGTCGATGAGCGAGGCGGACAAAGTGCAGCAGTTCTACCATCTGCTGACCAGTTCCGTGGATGTGATCAAGCAGTTTGCCGAAAAGATTCCCGGCTACTTTGATCTCCTGCCGGAGGATCAGGAGCTACTCTTCCAAAGCGCCTCGCTGGAACTGTTCGTCTTGAGGCTGGCCTATCGGGCCAGGAGCGATGACACCAAGTTGATCTTCTGCAATGGCACTGTTCTACATCGCACCCAGTGCCTGCGATCCTTCGGCGAGTGGCTTAACGACATCATGGAGTTCAGCCACAGCCTGCACAACCTGGAGATCGACATCTCCGCCTTCGCCTGCCTCTGCGCCCTCACTCTGATCACAGGTGGGTAACCTCCTATTCTTAGTCCCTGTTAAAGAAGCAAAGACAAAAATAGAATAAAATAAATAGTTGAAGTTCCTAAAAAATATTTTATAAGTACATTTGTTAATTTGACTTTTGTCATATCAAAAATAAATATTTTTAAGATGTTCGAAAGAAATAAATTTATAAAGGAAACATTTTCTAAAGTCTATCGTTCAAGTTAAATTAATAACAGTGTTCAATTTATAAATGCCAAAAAAAACACAGAAAATAAAAGGTATACAGAAAATATCTATATCCGTGGTGACACAGAAATCTTTTACCTTCAAGTTCGGTATAAATATTGTACAAACAAATTTTATCCCAATTTAAGCACAAGAGAATTCTTTGTTATCCCCGATTTTATGTTTTTATTATGTATTAAAAAATGTTTCCTAAAAACAGTTTAAACATATATAAACGAATCGAAACTTTTTAGAAGAAAATGTTTTTTAATAAAAATTTAGCTGTTTAATATTAAGTAAACAACGGCATAAAATTGAGTTTAAATTAAATAATTATTAGTGTAATTGCTGATTTCGATTATAGTGTCTCAATTTAAAAAAACTAATTGCCAAATTAACCCCTTTTTTCCCCTATTTAATCCTCAGAACGCCATGGCCTGCGGGAGCCGAAAAAAGTGGAGCAGCTGCAGATGAAGATCATTGGCAGTCTGCGGGACCATGTCACCTACAATGCGGAGGCCCAGAAGAAGCAGCACTACTTCAGCCGTTTGCTGGGCAAGTTGCCCGAACTGCGATCCCTGAGCGTCCAGGGATTGCAGAGGATCTTCTATCTGAAACTGGAGGACCTGGTGCCGGCGCCAGCTCTCATCGAGAACATGTTCGTTACCACATTGCCCTTCTAGAGGCGATCGATCAAGCGTATCATCACAACAACATTGCTTCCTTAAACCAGCCCTAAGCCATGCCCCCACCCCCCCCAACTTAGATATAGGAAATGACCCAACTAGCTTTAGTAGAGAGCCCTGAAATAAATAAATCTCACAAAAAGAAAACCGAAATAAAATGCAGACCCAGGCCATATACATATATAGTGTGTAGTAGAGGTAGTTAGTTTGCTGGACAGCCCGGCCCTTCGATAATTACGGACATGAATATTTGAGAAAGGGGTTTTTCAGTGTAAAAAAAGCAGCTCCTGCGTGACTCGTCAGCACTGGAAATTACAACTTGTTGACGTTAATTGTTAAATTGTTTAATTTCAACTGTCAAAATCAATGGGTAGGCACGCAATGGAAACACTTTCTAACCCCGGACATAAGCTTGCTCAATATTCTGCATTAACGGACGGACGGACAGACGGAACGCTCTCTTGCCTTTTTGCTAACTTCTAGTCAATTGTTTTAGGCAAAACAAAAAAAAAAAATTATAAAAGTGTGCAGCATAGTGTTATATAATTTATAGCCTAGACTAGTGGTTCTCTTCAAGAATAACCCAAAACAAATTCCACAAATTGGAACCTGAAAGTTAATTACATACTACTTCCTTTACAATTTTTGTTTAAAAATTTCATATCTATTACCAATTTGTGGAAATCTACTATCATATCATATAGCAAAGCCATGCTTGCCCTTAGCTAAAATATATAGACCCGCATAAATTTGATAGCCCAACCAAGTATTTACGTTAAATCCTAGACTAAGGCTCCTTATAGTTGTAGACTAAGACTATTCAGTTCGATTTATCAGCGCACCAACAAGTGCACAATGAGAGTTTAAGTACCTTTTTGTGATGATTGTGTCTGACACAGAGAGAGTTGCACACAAACACACAAGCTAGACGATAAGCTAAAATACTAGCATATATATGAAATATTCTGTAGAGTAAGCCCAAGTATTTGGTAATCCAAAACCCTTGTATATCCGTAGTTTTAACGTTCCAAACGAGAGAAAAACTTTATATTATCTTAAACCACTCCAACTAAGTTCTTAAAGAAACGCTAATGGATCATGGGATCCTTCTCTCTATATATGTGTGTGTTAATTCGATAGAAAACCCCTCTATGTGATTTTGTGATAGATTGGCATTGAACTCTATATATATATATATATATATAAATATATATATATATATGTCTATAATATATACACGCATAATATATATTTTTATGTCTAACTTTTGTATGGTTTATTTTATACGTACCACCTTTCTTTAAAAACAAATAATAAGAAATAAAAAGATCGTTAGATAGCAAATATTTCAAATGTATGTTATGAGGAATTTTCAAAGTACAGCCTTTAGCAACTTTCCAATTAACGTTTGTATTAACGAAAGACATTTTCTATGTGTGAAATTCAAGACTTCTATAACTAAATGTAAACTAAAAAGCAAAAACACAAAAACCAATGTGAATAACATATCTCTTCAAGCTTTCGAGTGCACGGAAGATGTAGATCCGAAACCCAAGTGTTACTAAATCTATTTAATATATTGGCAAACCTGGGGCGACGAGGTGTTTAATAAATTCGCAGCAACTATACAAATTAGATAGATCATTAATAAATTATTGTACATGTAGCACATCAAATGTTAAACAACTAGATTTTGTACCATCTTTAAGAAGAACTTAGGCCAAGCTAAACTAAGTGTAAACCATGATCTGCATGCGGCTAAGCTGGAACTAAAAAAAAACATATTTGGGTTGACTTTAAATATATGGGGCATTTTTGATTTTTTTTAAAGGTATCAATACATTAATATTTTCCCTTATCAAGTATAAAGAATACACTTAAAACTAAACAAAAAAAATTAAGTAAATTGATTTAAACAAAATTCTGTAACTAAATGCTAGGAATGAGAATTTCAAAGTGACTCAATTCATTTGATTTCACCCACCTCAAACAGACAACCTAAAAGGGAGTTGAGGAGTTAGAGCAATAATTCATAAGGAAAATGCACCCTAAAATAACTAAAAATATAGCTTAACTAAACCCGAACTTGTAACGGTTAGGAGCGATAATAAAACAGGATTAAACAGGAACAGTAAGGTGACCAAAACAGTTTGAAACGAGACGTTAGATAGGTTCGGGTTCGAAACCCTCAAAGCGATGCCATTTTTTAGCCGTTACAACAATGAGTACATTGGTTATCAATCATGCACATGAACATAAAATATTATAACGATATATCTAGCTATAGGAACCTACTTTGTACCTACACAACATGGAAACATCAAACCTACATGCATATTTACACATATATTTTGAATAGAGCGACAACTTTTACAAGTTATGTCTGGCACAAAAGCTATTGATATAGATATAGCTGGATATGGCCATATACCGGAGCGAGCATATACATATATATTTTGGTTTACTGTTCTTTTGTAATTTTATAAATGCATACATATATACTACGTGAATGTCAAGTGTGGATTCATATTTTTGAGATACAGTTACAAAATGAAACAAAAACCCGTAAAACGTGAAATTTTTCGATGAAACGATTTTAAATGAGAACCTTTTAATATTGCTATTAAAATGATATATACACATAAATATATATTTTACTAAGTAACGGATAGGATTAAACTAGAAGCAGCGCTTAAAGCTTTATACAAAACAAAACAAAAAAAATATAAAAGAAATTGGCACAAATTAAATTTATATAGCATAACTAGACGTTTTTCGAAAGATAATGTTATTCGTAATAGAGCGCTATATCTCCAATTCACACAACCACACAACAGATAATATAAGCTATATATCCATCCCAAATAGCGATTACTACTAGCGATGAGCAGAAAATGAGGTGAAACCTAAAGACGCTATAACATATATCTATCTAATAGATGAGTACCGATGCTATACGGCCCATTGTGTAATTTTAATCTTGTTTGATCGTTTCATTTACCAGTTAAGTACCCAAAACAGTGCGCATATGAGAGTGTTGAAAAAACATTGAACTTGCAATTCAATTAACTCTGCAATATGATACCAAGCAAAGCGAATCATTTCATTTCGATTTAAATTTAAATTAACATTTAAATTAAATAAAGATCTAAGCCCAAAACAAACGTTTTTCTATATCTGTCTTTTGAGCAAATTAGTTATACGAAAATCCAAACCGTATTTACATAAATGTATACAAAACAAAACGTATATTTTCATTGGTTTGAAATAAATACATAAAACAATTAAGTTTTGATTGTTATTTTTGGGAGGTGAAGTCGTATAGAAAAATGTTCTCATTTTTGGTGTTTTATGCTGTCTGTTTATATAACTGTTTTAATGTTTTCGGGGGCTTAGTTTATATTTTGCATTTAAAATTATATTGCGCTTTTGCGAACATGATAGTTGTATTTGTTTGTGCAAACAAAGATATTTTCCTTCTGTCCTTAAAGATTGTCTTTAACCAATGGCATTTGGTTGTTTTCTTCTTAAAGCTAAATTCGAATTGGCAGTCTTATATACATTTATGATAAGTTTTAGACAATTTACAAAAATAGGTAGTATCAAATGTAGACTGGCAAAAATGTACTGATGTAGTTGCGGCACACTGGACAACGATTCTCTAAACGAAGAAGCAGTTGTTGGGAGCACTCTTTGCAGAGGCAGAGATGTCGGCAGGGCATGATGACGATGTTCCTGCTACGCTCCATGCAGACCACACAGCCTCCGCGGTTAGGAGATCCGGCATTGCCCGGATCATTCCTTATATTCTGCATAAAACGCTTCAACTGCTGATCAGTCCAGAGGTAAACGCTTTGCGTCTTCGTTGAGATCTCGGTGCGGACACGTTGGAGCAGGTAGATGAGCAGCAAGAACACATAGCGCCGGAACATGTAGAGGATTAGCAGCAGGGACAATCCTATCGAGAGTCGAAAAACGCTGTTCAGCAGGCTCAGGCCACGGGCCACAATGGAGTGCATTACAAAGTCCAGAAGGTAATCAATAATGCACAGTATGAGCCTTGGGAGCAGCATTAACACCCACAAGGTGCAATTCCCCAGTTCAATGAGCAAATTGCAGAATAACATAGCCAAGGATTGTCCGAAATCTCTGGCACTTTTCAGGCCACCCTTGGTGCCGCCGTAGAAGTAGTCCGTCACATCCAGCGTGATGAGGCACAGGTCGCAATAGACCCTGTGGACTTCGCTGGCCGCCCATCTCACCAGGTTCCAGGCCCGCGTGCTGCCCTCCACCAAACAGTATCCAACGAAGTAGCTGCCCCACAGGAAATAGTACACGCTGGTGACCACCGCATCGATCAGTATGGCCAGTGGACGCAGCAGGAACTCGTCCACGAACTCCGCTACCAGGACTAGAGTGTACAGCATGGCGGGGGATGCATCCTCTCGAGAAATCAAAATAAACGACCAAAAACAAAATCAAAACAAGAACGCCGGGGAATTAGTGTGCCCAGGCGATGTTTGCTAGTTTATACCGGCCTATCAAACTATCGTTGTGACAAGGTAGCAGCACAAATGGTGTAAGACTACAAACTTTAATTCAAAATTGTTTATAAACAAAAAAAATGATTTCTTCAAAAACAGCACGAAATCTTGTCCTAAGACGTATATCTCTTCTAGATAGCTTTTAGAACATTTTTTTATTATATTATATTTTATTTTAAGCGAGTATTAAATAAATAGACTAATTTAAAACTGCTAAATTATATTTAATAACATAAGTAGTATAGCTTTAAGTAAAACCATAAATACTTATAAGAAAGATTCAAATGGCTTACAGTTGTTTATTGCCTAAGAAAGCAACCCTAAAGCTAATCTTTACATATTTCAGGAATCCCCTGAACATAATTAATCCCACTTATAAAATTATTCCCATATCTATAAATAAACATTGTTTGTTTTTTTTTTCAAAAGTTCAAATAAATTTAATAAAAAGTAACCGCTTAACAAAAATGCAGTTGCACTTGACACGTAGGGCTTTTTTTGCAGTCAGTGCAATACCATACTTTTTGTTTTTGGGGATGAAACAGTAAAAAAGTTACTGTTGTTGCTGTAGCTGTTTTTCCACCATTGCGAGGACATTTGACAAGTAATCCCCATTTACCCCCGAAAGCTTAATTACAAAATCAACTAAAATCGATTAAATCTTTTTTATGTTTTTCGCAGTTTTAGCGATAAGCCAAGCTTTCAAGGTCCGAAGGTCCCAAGATGGAGGAATCCAATTCCAATCACGGTATGGCTGGCTGTGAAAACGTATCACAGTTCATGCTCGATGACCTGCAATTAGCTGCGGAACTTGGAAAAACCCTATTGGAGCGTAATAAGGAACTTGAAACATTCATAAAAGAGTACAAAATCAAGGGAGATGAGCAGGAACTTGAGATTTTGCACCTTCGCAAGCATATTAATGCCATGACCGAGGTGAATGATTCCAGGCTTAAGGTGTACGAACAACTGGAAGTGGGCATCCAAGATCTGGAACGTGCTAATCAACGGCTCAACATGGAAAAAAATCGCGATAAGAAGCAAATAAAGTCGCTGACAACCAACACGGAAATCTTGGAAGCCCGTTGCGAGGAACTCAATCAACTTTTAAGCGATGCCCGACAATCTCTGAGCACCGAACGGCGTAAAGTGGATCAATATCAGCAGGAGCGTTACAGGATGCAGCATTCAGCCGAGGGTTCCGTTTCCAGTCACAGCATTCAATCATTGTGCAAGGAACAGAATTTGGATATATCCAAATTGGATGTTATGGCCATGGCCATAGCCAACTCAACGGGTCTGGAGGAGCTCTCCCTCACTAATGACACCATGTGTGAGAGAAGTGCTGTGAAGGGTGAAGAAAACGAGGAGTTGGTAAAGTTACTCAGCGAAATGGAGATCATAAAACGTGATTTTCTGGCAGAACAGCAACGATGCACCGAATTGGAGGAGCAGCTGGTCACCATCATCCAAGACAACCAGGGTCTGCAAAGTCGTCTGCTCGAAAACAGTGCCAACGAGGGAACAATGTCAATGCACGAAGAGTTCTCCCTTCTCGACGACGTCCGGCAAGGTCAAATGTGCAGTAGATGTCTGAGGGATATAAACGAAAGTAATACCAATATGGATGATCAATCTTCCATCGCTCCAACCGAAGAAATCTACGAAGACGACGACCGAAGCATACAATCTTGCAGCGAACACACCTCAAAGTGCGATAACAGTGCATCCGAATATAAAGAACGTTTAAGAATTTCCGAAGATCTTAACCTTAACGCCAGCGATAAACCAAATCCGTATCGCGACCTAGTCGAAAAGTACGAGGCTTTGGTGGAAGTAAAGAGAACCTCAAATGCGGCCAAGAGCAATTTTGCCAATAATTCAGATGGCAAAACTATAACCGAATTAAGTCAAAGCAAAAAAACCGAAATAGTTGTTAATAGCTCAAAAGAATCTGATCTAATGTTGGACTCAAATCGCAAACGCACTCCAACCGAATTTTCGGAATCTGAAACTACATCATCGGGATTCTCGGATGAGACTAGTAACAAGTGCACACAAACCGACGAGCGACCTAGTTTCTTCCTTTGCTCAATTAGTAATGGAAATGATTGTAAATTTAGTATCTATGACGATGTCAGTCCGATTGAATCTCATTTTCGCAATCGCCCGGAGTACAGGGAACTTTTCAAAGAGATATTCGGAGTGCTCAAGAAAGCTGCCGATAATAACGAAGTAGACAAGTTACCGTCCCTGCAAGATGACGCACAGGTGATAGAAAAACTACCCTTAGTCCCGGCAAAAGTACCGCCCGTAACACCCGAAAGGGAGGAATCTCCAGATGAATTCATCGATGATACACAAAGCGTCGTTTCCTCGATTATATCTAATCAGTCCATAGCAATGTCCGAGTGCGTAACCAAGTTGGAACGCAAAACAGCCAAAAAACACATCTTTGAAGTCCGGAGTCAGCAAAACCAGTCGGCTCTTACGCAATCTACCTTGTTAAGTAACTCTTCTAAGGAAACGACTGTCGGTGAGGCCACTATTAAGCCGATTAAGGAAAATGGCCAGGTACTTACTCCACTGAAACGGGAACCTCTCGAATACTTAACCGTAGGTGTCGGAATTAAAAAGAAGAACCGACGAAAGCACCGAAACCAGAGCTCATCTGGAGATCGTATCGAATTATTTAATTCCCGTGAATTCACACCCAGAAACAGTCCACTTGCCATGAATAACCGCGGTGGACAAGGCAGCTCAAAGTTGTGTACGGACACATTGAACACGGAATATGGTCGCAGTAATCGTAGACGGACAACTCCTTCATCAAGCAATTGGAATGGCTCGCCAATGGTGATCTATAATAAAAATATGAATACTCCTCAAACTTCTCGTGGCCGTGTAATAGAGCTAAATGGTGTTGAGTTTTACCACAACACTGTATCGCAAGATTTACATAAACTTAAAAAGTTAGATTTATCTTATGCTGAAGTACTGCGCCGCGCCGATGCCGGTGATCATATTCCCACAAAACTACATTCCCAGCGACTTCAACACAACGGATCCAACATACGAAAGAACCATCATCAGTATCGTCAAAAGTAGTCTGGTTTAGAGAATGTAAATAATTAATTATACATTGCATTCTAGCCATAGGGCATTATAAAATTTTTTAAATTGTATGTGCCATGAAGTCTAGTCCGCTTTTTAATGTATAGACAGTTAAATTACAATACCAACTTTACTATTAATGAATATTTAACTGTATTTCAGCATGATAAAATAAATTATTTAATGACGTCAACTATATGGCTTGTTAATTATATCCAACAGCAATGGTTTTTTAACGACACCCGGAAAAAGTAACTAACCCAACTTGAAGTAAATAAAACTAGGATAGTAGTTTTAAATTTCACATAAAAGCAAACATTTATTTTTAACTTACGAAGTAAAAAAAAGGAGAATAAAATACTCATTCAGTATAACGATTTGACAGGCTAACTACTCTCAAGGCCGCCGTTTGAAATGCCCAGTTTGCTAAGCAAACTTATTATCTCGCTGTTAGTCCTCATGACAGCCATAACTTCCTGTTGCTGTTGCTGCATCACCCTCAACCGATTTCGCTCCTCGATCTTGGCCAGCTGGTTGTTGTTGTTTATTGTCTTTGTGTCCACATCCAGCTTAAGTTCGGATTTCACGTGATAAAGTTCATCGCGTATGCCATTCAATTTCCGCTCGCAATCTCGCACATCTTTCTCCAGAATTTGTGTTTTAAGATAGACGGTCTGGGCCAGCTTGTACCAATCTGCCAGACATTCCGCAATTTGAGCCACTGTCGGATTTACATTATCAAAAAGCAAGGCTTTGATCCGCTTGCCATTGTGATCCACTTTGATCTTTTCCAAAGCATGGAACTGCTCATCGTTGTAGGTCAGAGTGCGCGTGGCACGATCCCTTAGCAAGTGCTGCCAGGAGTCTCGCAGCCTTTCCACCAGATACTTGGCCTGAGCACTGGCCCTGGTCCTGCAAGGACACTTCTTGCCGTGCATAGAGGATGTCCATTGGTCGCTATTTCAAAATATTTTAAAATTCAATTAATACTTACAATACAAATGCTTGCATATTCTTTTAAACCCACTTGAGTTCATCGTCTGTGACGAAATGTTTGTGCATTTGAGAAATCACATCGGCGGCTCCATCAAAGTCGCTTTTGACATTTTCCAAGGCGGTCAGCAGGGTCTTCAGCTCCTGATCTCCCTTTGTCTAATAAACAATCAATATAACATTTATTTTTATATAAGAAGCATTAGCACCTTACCACTCTGGCCATGCTTTGCACCACATCTGCATAGTCCATCACAGTGGAAAGTAGGTTGTCGAAGCTCTCAGTTTTCCTTAATTTAAAATCATTAATTAATATAAAAAAAGGTTCCCCTTCTTTTCAACTTACTTTAAAAGCAAAGTTATTGTGGTTATAAGCATCTCTATAAAGTGCTCAACGCCCTTCTTGATAAGAATATCCATCGATGTGAAGATATCCACGCGTCTTTTGCATTCGTGACCAACACTACAAGCGGATTTAGCCAGGCTGGCATCATTTTCCACAGAAACATTAGGAGGAAATACAGGGAACTTGGGAAGATCCAATTGCTGAGGCAACTGAACATTGTTGTCATCGTTGCTGTAAAGGAATATGGGTTGCTCCGTGGTGGTGACAGGGAATGCTTTAGCTGGAGGTGATTATCAATATTAGACTCACTAAAGAAATCTTAAAGTGTTAATGACTCACCAATGGTTCGCGGAGTGACCTTCTTCTCCAGATGCTCATTATTGAATAGTAGGATCTGCTTCTCCAGTGGCACCTCAGTCTGCAGGAAAATGCGCTCTCGGAAGTTATCAATCTGCTCGTCGGGCTCCAGAAATACTTCCACCGAACTAGTGCGATTGGTAAAGAACACATGGATGACGCGC